TCTAGATTAGGCCCCGCGTATACGCGGGTTTATTTTAATTTTTTTGAAATAAATCTGGAAAATTATTAAACATAATATAATCATTTTTAAAAGTAAGTAGAATAATAATAAAAACCCGATAACAAATCACTAAATAAAATAAGATTAGTAATCTTTTTACATTTTTATTATAATTGACATTTGTTTTGAATTCATGATATGAAAAATGAATTAATTTGTGTTATCTTATTTTTATCAATATAGAAATACTTACATGTGTTTAAATCTGATGGACTAATTAATACGTGAAACTTTGATTATTCCATCGAAGAGATTTCAGTTGATGAAATCAATTTTTTAATATTTTTTGACCTAACAAAAATTTGAAAATAAACTATTTAAAATTAGAATATCGGACCAAAATAAAATTTTCTTTTTAATATTAGTTAGCTGTTGATAATTATTTTGTTAGCTTTCTATTTATATTCTTTCTTTTATAATATTTATTTTGCCTCAGACCATTATAAATTTTTCTTTTCATTATTAGTTAGTTGTTTTACAATTTTTCGTTTTGTTATTAAATTTTTCTAATTTTCTTGTGTTAACACATGTTATAATCTGATCAAATATTATACATGGTGCGGCAGTAGTTTTGATTTTGATCCAACTGATCTAAAATTAAATATTCTTCATTGATATCTAGAACTTTTAAAGACATGATTTTTCATTTCTTAATAAGAAAGAAAATTTAAACAAAATATAGAACACACAATTAAATCATGAAGGGTGTAACTTATTATATATTGTTTTTTTTCCTTCTTGTATTGGGAATATGTTTTTTCCGTTTCTTAATGGATGTAACAATTTATTGTAAATTATATATTTTCTTACTAACCTTTTCATCAAGTAGTAGAAGCTCAACTCCCATAAGAATATTATTTTCTTTTGGATTTCTAACTTCCCACTTTCGAATAACACGTACTATAGTACGGCGATAATTTCGATTTCGATCCAATTGACCTAGAGTCAAATAATCTTCACTGTTTTCTTGAACATTCAAAGACATGATTTTTAAATTAGAGAAAGAGAATCAGAGAAATTTGATGAATTTGCTTTGATGAGTTTGTGAATGAGAAAAAAGAGACTACTGTAACTTTGTATTTATAGGTGTTCATATAACATATTCCTTGCAGATATAGGAATTTTAGTTTACGTACCTATTCCATGTAGTAATAGGATTTTATTTATTACATTATTTTCAATCTTATTTTATAATTAATATGTGTTTGGATAATATAAATTTGATGAATGGAAAACCTTTTTCTGTTAGGATATGACAAATATTAATTTTTCTTTTTTATAAAATAAAATAAAAATTTCGTTTTTTTAATTATCCTATTTCTAGTATTTTTTAAAAAAATTTTTTTTCCCCTAATACACGTGTCACGATCTTAACGGACATAATCTTAAAAGTGACACATGTCGCGATCCTATATTTTATAAAAATCCTACGTGTCGCAACCACGTCACGCGCATCCAGCTTTATATTAAGATATAATATATATAATAAGATGAGAAATACAAAACCAAACCAAACAACGATTTGGTTAATTTGGTTATGGTTAGAAGCGAACCGATCGGAAAATAATTTATTTGTGTTTGGTTCTTGGTTTGTTCGGTTAAGTTCAAGTGAACTGAATGAGTTAACCGAAAAACACAAAAACCTGATTCTATTTTCAGCCGCCTCTAGTGTTCTTCTTCTTCTCTTTTTCTTCCTGCATTAGATTTTCAATCAAAGCAACAACGAAGTCAACAACCTCTACCGTCGAAAAAGTGAGCACGATGGCAGTGTTTTTAGATGGTTCTGTCTGCGTTTTACCAAATTAACCTCCACAAAAAGTCAAAAAAGAATCTCAACCGTCAGATTGTATCAGACACTGACACACTGTAACATCACCGTACAGAAACACAGCTGCGTGGGAGATTCTTCACGACTTACAAACCCGTATTAAGATAGCTGATATACCCATATCTTTCATGTTTTTATCAAGGTTTTCACTATGTTTTTAATACAAATAATGTGGTTTTTATGCCCAAGAGGTAGTTTTCTTGTATATTCTGGTTTTGAGCATCATTCAGGTCAAAATAGCAAAGAAGAGTCAAAATGGAGCAAAAAGAGTCAAATCACCAAGTTCCCAAGTCTAGAGCACCAAATCTACATTTCTCGCTAAAGACCAAACCGGAGCATCCGAAGTACGACCGCATATTCATGCCTTCCCGACGTCCAAAAGTCATGATTCTTATATGGAAAGATAGATATTTGAGTCATGACCCGCGGCGAAGTGGAAAGAGGTCATTTGGATCACTCGTTGGACCGGAACTTATTTTCTACCAAGACATGTCCGACGAGCGCCTAAGTAGAGCCCATGGAGACTTTGATGGATCAAGAGGCCCGAGATACCGCGCCCAAGGCCTTGGCTCATCTTGACACTAGCATAACTCAATCCAGAAGCTTCCATTGGCCTGAACGCGGCCCATTCAAGAACTTGGAGAGCAAGCTCAAGCGGCTAAAGAGAAATGGAAACTTTCCTCTTCTGCGCGCGCTCAACTTTGCCGACCTAGACCCGCTCTCTACCTATATATACTTGCTTTTAGCCTCTTGTAATAAGAATCACCAGCCGCATAACAAGAAACACTTATTCAATAAAGTTCGGAGCCACTTAGGTGGTCTCCTTCTTCTTTCTTTTCTTCTTTTGCATTTGTATATAGCTTGCATGTTTCAATTTATATAGTCTAGAAGTAGAGATTTCTCCCTAAGGGTGAGGCGTGGTTTAGTCCATATTCCGCCGCCTCTCTCTCTAAGGATTCATGAGACTTCATCTACTATCTAAGACTCATTGTTGAATTATGGATCCTTCCAATGAGGACGTGATATAATGGCCATCGAATCGATTGTTAAAAGGGGAAACCCTATGGTTCTCCATCTTTATTTATGCTTAATGCTTGTTGCTAGAGTAGCTAACTAGTGACTTGATTTTAGGTTGATATACTCTCCAAAAGCTTGTTATATCTCCGGACATAATATTTGATGGGCAAATCGTTTTAGGCTACGAAAGTAGACCTAAAGAGTTTTGTGAACAATCATTACTTGGATGTAATGCATGTCTCACTCTACAATGACCAACGAAAGCTGAGCCCATTGGTTTAAGAGACATAGGGGATTGGAACCACGAAAGTGGAATAATCCTTCCTTAGTGTTTTGAGTTCAAAAGAATCGGATTTTAACAAACTTTTCAATCGACTTGGCTCATGTTTTCAAAAGAGTTTTCAATAGTTCAATAATGTTGCTTGTATAGAATTGCATTGTTATTTCTTTTGCGTGTTCTAAACAAACACAAACCCTTGCATCTTTTGATTTAGCTTAGTCATTTAAACTCTATGATTATGTAATGTGTGAAATCCAATCCCTTGTGGTTCGACCCCTAAATACTACAATTATATGTTGTGCACTTGCAACACTAGTTGTCTTAGGGAATTATTACTTGTACTCATCCCATAGATGCCGCATCAAGTTTTTGGCGCCGTTGCCGGGGATTGCATCATAAACACTTGCATAGTCTTGTTTAAAACTAAGTCTAGATCTTGGTATTTTCGAATACTAACTTTTTCTTTTAAATCTTGTGTTTATAGGTACTTGGAGATGAATCACAACACCAACATCCACTTTGGGAACCGGACACTGATCCCACACGATCTCCACGGCCGGAGTTACCAAGACCCAGCCGTAAGCATCGTGCCACATCCGTTCCCTCCCAACCGCGCTCATCCGACGTTTGAAGGACCTAGCCGAGACGAGCATCATTACCATCATCATCAAAACCGACCTCCGGTTTATCATCAACCACCTAGACCAGTGTTGCATTCACACCACGACCATGTTCTCAATAGGCGGAGAGATAGCCATTTCGATGCCGTGCTTGAGGGTTTCATGGAGAGCCAAAGAAAACTAGCCGCGACATTGAGACAAAGCTAGAGTTCACGCGATACGAACTAGATGGAAGACTTGGAGAACTCTCTACCCAAATAGAGAGAGTAGAGTCAAGATGCTTGGACATGGAGGAAGATTTGAAGAAGCAAGGCGAGGCCATTGAAGACAATAGGAGAGCGATACACTTTACCAAAGTTTCTACCAAGGAGATGGACAATCACTTAGATGAGAAGATCACAAGTCTTGATAACAACCTCGATGGCACCACCAAGAGTCTCAATTCAATAACAGCAGTAGCTCATCAAGCTAAGAGGGAGGTAGCCGAAGTAACCTAAAGGAGAGGCAATGTTACTCGACGATGCTTACATTGGTGGAAGGGCAAAAACAAGTGAAGGCACAAATCCGAGATTTACACATCTCTCTAGACAAGAGGAGCCAAGATATTCAAAGAAGAGCTAGAGGGCTTGAAGACAAAGTAGATGGAGTCTCCAAGGAAGTCAAGGATTTAACCACTCGCTTAGCCAACTTGGAAGAGAAGGTCTTGACCGAGACAAAGACGACCGGTTCTAAGCACAACATGCCGCGTCCGTCTTTACTATAAGAGAGACCGACCCAAGAGTGATTTGGGATGAAGAAGAAAGTAGAGCTGATCAAGAAAGAGCCACAAGGCTAACCACTGGAACAAGAGAGAAGATAGCACCAAAAGGAAGAACCCTTACTCAAAGGTCTTCACAACCGCCTCCCACCAAGGAGAAGAGGAAGACAAGATCATCACTTGAAGAGATCATAGATGATTTCAACTTTATGGCGAGGAGATTCCCTTATGGTGTGCCGTTTGATAATGCTTGCAACAAGAGTCCATTCATGCAAGACCTAGCTTGGACACAAGATTGGAGTCTAGCTGAAATGGAAAAGATGTACGAGGAAGCAAGAAAGGGGATGCCTAAACCTAGGTTTCTACACAAGCTTCATGACCCAGCTAGCTGATTCATCATTGACCGAACCACTTGGAGAGGTTAAAGACATTCAGCTTGATTTTGGAGGCTGCATAGTTCCAGCCAACTTCTATGTAGTAACCATGAAGGATCCGGAGGACTTAAAGCTTTTGCTTGGAAGATCATTCCTAGCCACAGCTGGAGCGATCATGGATTGGCCTAATAGAAGAATCTCTCTAGCCAATGTTGACAAGGACACCTTCTACGATGCTGCACCTCCCGGTTTCTCATCCAAGCGATTTCGCTACACAAGTGGAGGAGAGTGCTCACAAGTAAGAGGAGAGTCGCATGGCTACTTGATCAAGGAAGTTCTACAGGACAAGATGCACTTGGAATCATCAGGCAACAGGAAGTTCTTGGAGCCACCAATCCTACCTAACTAAGAACACAAAGGAGTCGAGCTACAAAGACTTAAAACAAGCGCTTGTGGGAGGCAACCCACATTTTCTTATCCCTTCCTTTTTTTTTTTTTTTTATTTTTATAACTACTTATTTGTTCTATTTATAACTCTTAAATTTTTGAGAGTTTAATAAATTTTACAAAAATAAAATAAAAAGTGTTTTAGGAAAAAGTACCAAAAAGGAGGCTTACATGAAAAATGCATTGGAAAAGCTACATCGCCACCAATCGGCCAAGGATCAACCATCTTTGGTCTAAGTGTCAAGTATTGAGTCTAGTTTGAGTCCCACCCAAGTCCCACCCATGTTTCAAGAAGCAAAGAATCCAAGAAGGGCCGCGGCACAACAAAATCCGGCCATTGGAACACTATTGCACAAGGCAAAGGTAAGAATCTCTCCCATTCTAATGTCATTTCTCAAAAACATTATCTCTACTTATTTCACACATGAACACTACTTAGATCTCTGATCAAGATCCCAAGTACATGTAGTGTCACGATCAAGTCATTGATTGAGAAGTTCAAATAACTTGAGCATCTCAATCATTGACAGATTTAACAAAGAGTTACTAGTGTTTTTCAGATATAAAACATGACAGGAAAACCGGTTCAAAATATCAACAAACATGGCGCGCAAGGAGCCACAACCGGCCAAAGGAGGATTTACATGCCAAACATGAGAGATGAGGGAAATCCAACCACAATTCAATCCAGGAGGGATAGAAAAACAGTTCGGTCGAAGCAGAACTCAATTGGCCCGAGTAAAAAAGGAGATATCACATTCCAATCACTCTCTCGGCCAGAATCGACGAACCAAGCGACAATGCTCGACCATCTCCAAACGGCACGACCGAAGTCCACCAAACTTCACAGGCGACCTCAAAACATCATTTTGGTCGGCAAATCCAAAAGATAGGACGAGAAAAAGTGCCTGCTACGTGAGATAGACGAGGAAGCTCAATACGGCCGACGGCGATGCATAGAATGGCCGACGAACTCAAAACCTCAAGAAGGCGCGAACACCGGTGGAAACTGATCCTCTGGAGTCCAAAAAACACCAAGGAAGAAGAAAGGAAGGAGACGATCGAACAGAATACAAGATGGCCAAAGGAATCACATCCCGACGCCATTGGCGCGCACGACGAAAGATCTCCGAATCCACACGTTCAAATCGCCTCAAACTTCACAAGGAGCCACAAAACATAAGGTTGGTCGATGAAATTTCATTTCAGTACAATGAATTCCTTACAATTCAAGAGATGGCCGATGGAGCGAAATTTGGCCGATCGCGAGCAAGTAAAATGGCCGACAATCCAAATCACGGCATTTACCGCGGCCACCGGCTCAAATCACCTCCATCAAGCATCCACATCGCATCTAAAGAAGAAAATCCAGATTGGAACGAGCAGAATTGGAGAAGACCGAAGGAAGACGTTCCCGGAGCCAATTTGAAAATTTTTCAAAGGAGATCTCAAACCACTCGTTCAAACGACCCCAAACTTCACCAGTCGCCATATTATACAATATTGGTCGACGAAATTTCAAGATAGGTCGAGGAAATCTTCACGGTTCGAGCTGTAGTCCATACCATCACCATCCGGTCGACCAAAACGGACCAGTCTCGGCCAAAAAGGCGAAAAACAGAAAACCAAGGGAGAATTGTCACATTCATCCAACCAAATCCAACAGCTATGATGTTTGCACCAGTCAGTTCATTCCTGGAAGCAACTACAAGCGCACAACCGATCTTCACATCAAAGGCCAAAAATTTGGGTACAATTTTCTACAAACTCTAACTTTTCCATTCTATTTATCATTACCTCTCTTAATTGGATTTTTCTTACACCGAGACGGTGCAAGTTAAGTCTGGGGGGATTACTAACAAGTTTGTTCTTTTTGAATTTCATTGAGTCGTTTTATTGAGTCAAAATTTTGTCAAAGGATTATGACCTTATCTTGGATCTAACCATTGTTGTGCTAACGTTTAAGTGACCATTGAAGCAGTCTTGGCAATACATCTTACCACAGGGACACTATGAGTTGATCGATCTACCAAAAACGCCCACACCTCCAAGGACTTGAGAAGGATCCACTCTTGACTCCGCCCTTAATGAACTTAATCTTCTCAGCTAGGGGCTTGGCATACAAATGGCATGATTCCTCATCCTCTCCATCAAATGAAAAAGTCTTAGTGAGTTCGTGCTTCCCTCTCTCTCCCCTTCAAATTTAAAGAAAAAGCGTAAGGTCCAAGTAACCGGGGATTCGGTGGCAAACACCATCAATACTCGCGTCTATGGAAGGCCTATGAATCCAAGCAACCGGGGATTCGGTGGCAAACACCATCAATACTCGCGTCTGTGGAAGATCCAAGCAAAACCTCTATAATAAAGAGAAGGAGTTGAATAAAAAAATACTTCGCTACCCTAAAAAAGGGATGAGTCAACTCAAAGAAGTGAGAAGAGAGAGAGGAGAAACATGGAGTAAAAAGACAAGTGCCAAAACAAGGGGATGAGTAAGAGTCTAAAGCCGGCTGATCGATACTCCCTAGTTGAGACCACACCTTTAGAAATGAAAGGAGTCAAGGAGGGTGAATTGGATTGTCCAAAGAGAGGTGGGCCGCCTTGGAAAAATCGCAAAACTCATGGTATGTACTCTTGTTCTTAATTCAAATATTTGCCTTTACTACTTTCATGTGGATTACTAAAACCAAGCCAACCCGGATTTCCTAATGATTTGAGAGTTCTTGCGTTTTCAAACCTCTCTTCCTCTCTTAGTTTGCTTGGGGACAAGCAAAAGGCTAAGTCTGGGGGAGTTGATATACCCATATCTTTCATGTTTTTATCAAGGTTTTCACTATGTTTTTAATACAAATAATGTGGTTTTTAAGCCCAAGAGGTAGTTTTCTTGTATATTCTGGTTTTGAGCATCATTCAGGTCAAAATAGCAAAGAAGAGTCAAAATGGAGCAAAAAGAGTCAAATCACCAAGTTCCCAAGTCTAGAGCACCAAATCTACATTTCTCGCTAAAGACCAAACCGGAGCATCCGAAGTACGACCGCATATTCATGCCTTCCCGACGTCCAAAAGTCATGATTCTTATATGGAAAGATAGATATTTGAGTCATGACCCGCGGCGAAGTGGAAAGAGGTCATTTGGATCACTCGTTGGACCGGAACTTATTTTCTACCAAGACATGTCCGACGAGCGCCTAAGTAGAGCCCATGGAGACTTTGATGGATCAAGAGGCCCGAGATACCGCGCCCAAGGCCTTGGCTCATCTTGACACTAGCATAACTCAATCCAGAAGCTTCCATTGGCCTGAACGCGGCCCATTCAAGAACTTGGAGAGCAAGCTCAAGCGGCTAAAGAGAAATGGAAACTTTCCTCTTCTGCGCGCGCTCAACTTTGCCGACCTAGACCCGCTCTCTACCTATATATACTTGCTTTTAGCCTCTTGTAATAAGAATCACCAGCCGCATAACAAGAAACACTTATTCAATAAAGTTCGGAGCCACTTAGGTGGTCTCCTTCTTCTTTCTTTTCTTCTTTTGCATTTGTATATAGCTTGCATGTTTCAATTTATATAGTCTAGAAGTAGAGATTTCTCCCTAAGGGTGAGGCGTGGTTTAGTCTATATTCCGCCGCCTCTCTCTCTAAGGATTCATGAGACTTCATCTACTATCTAAGACTCATTGTTGAATTATGGATCCTTCCAATGAGGACGTGATATAATGGCCATCTTGAAAATCGATTGTTAAAAGGGGAAACCCTATGGTTCTCCATCTTTATTTATGCTTAATGCTTGTTGCTAGAGTAGCTAACTAGTGACTTGATTTTAGGTTGATATACTCTCCAAAAGCTTGTTATATCTCCGGACATAATATTTGATGGGCAAATCGTTTTAGGCTACGAAAGTAGACCTAAAGAGTTTTGTGAACAATCATTACTTGGATGTAATGCATGTCTCACTCTACAATGACCAACGAAAGCTGAGCCCATTGGTTTAAGAGACATAGGGGATTGGAACCACGAAAGTGGAATAATCCTTCCTTAGTGTTTTGAGTTCAAAAGAATCGGATTTTAACAAACTTTTCAATCGACTTGGCTCATGTTTTCAAAAGAGTTTTCAATAGTTCAATAATGTTGCTTGTATAGAATTGCATTGTTATTTCTTTTGCGTGTTCTAAACAAACACAAACCCTTGCATC